GAAAGCGATGAAGTGGCGTAGGAATGAAGTTGCTGGCTTCGTTCAGAATGTGCACGTCTAAAAGCGCCGAGAGCTTTGCATTGCTATGTTCGTATGTTTGTACCACTTCTTCAGCAGATGTACACGTACGAGATGCCCTTGTATCCTGCGATAGCGCCAAAGCTACAGCAAGACACAGGGGCAATTCGGTTGAACGTGTACATCCTGATTCGTTTGAAGCTCCATTTGATTATGATAAGTTCCACATTAGAAACTGCGGTCATCAGCTCTTACAGAATAAAATAAAATATGAAATGCTCAATGACTTCACTACCGTCGCTATGGCACCGCTGTATGATTACGTGAATGTAAGTAATTAAAGACTAACCGTAAAACTAAAAATGATTAAAAGGAATTATGCTGAATAAGATGGGAGGATTGCAACGGATGAGTAGGAAACGAATTTTAACCACAAACCTTTGCTAAATATAATTTCGAATTTTAGCTTCTCCGCAGTTGAAAAGTTATACAGAAGACTAGAGGTCCACCGCCGTACTTTGACCGCACTTTCCAGATAGCAGAACATTCTCACTTTCTTAATAGTAAGTATTCATAAAACGATCAATATAAGGATGAGATCTTATATCAGGTAAGCTAACCTTCGGAAGAGGTTTCATGGAACTGCATTTGATAACACCTTGAACTTTCTTCGTCAAGAGGAAGTCTGAAATTATTCGGTCGTGTACTAGTGAAAAATTTTAAAGCATGTATCCTCAACAGCTAATGAAGAGCATTTCAAGTGTGAACCAATGGACTTCTGATCTCCAAACAAAACTTACTAGAAGGCTCGGTCTTGATTTCCAGAGACAAGTCGTTAGGACCAGCAATCCTACAGCGTTGACATTCCACTGGGTAATCTAACGTGGGATTCTGAAAAAAAAAGTCCAATACCGCAAATGCAGAAAAAACTGACCACATCAGACTCTATTCATACTGCATGTTTGGATAAATCTTCAGATCGATTCCCGAGATAATGAAGGATATGTTGATTTCAGTATTTTTCTTTGTGCCGGCGAAGTTTGTAGGTGAGAGATGCATGCCATTCCTTTCGACCAACGGCCCACATTTTATTTGAGATTTTAGAGTTGCCTTCCAAACACACGCATTAGCTACACTTTCATAGTGAAGCGCACCGGCGGCGCGGAGGCGATGCGCGCTGGTGGCGTCACAGCGGCGTCGAAGGGAGAAAGCAAGGGAAGGCTCTACAGCCAATACATTAACACATCACGTACTGCGAACTTTGACCGTGCCTAACTTCACTGCATGATCAATAGTGGTAAGAAGTAATGTGAACCAAACAC